AAAATCCAGGGGGAAAATTCCAGGAAAGGTTTCCCAGCAGAATGGGAATCTTTAGGCCCGGTGGGAATCGCCTTTTTCCTTGGATTCCAGCCAGGAAAATCCCCTTTTATCCCAGGAAAAACCCAATTCCTGGCAATTTTTAGGCTGATCCTGGTGGGGCTCAGTTCCCATACCCGGAACCCATCCCAGGTGTTCTGGGAATTCCCAAATCCCAAATTTTCCCAGATTTTTCTCACCTTCTGTGCCTGGGCTGGCTCAGTCAGGACCAGGGTGAAGAGCCCCAGGCAAATCTCCTCATGTTGGGGGGTCCCTTTGCAAATCTGGGGGGAAAATTCCAAAATTGGGATGAATTCCAGCTGGGATTGGGGTGCAGGAAAGGGAAAATCCCCCAAATCCTGGGAAATCTGGGAATCCCACACATCCAGGGGCTGTTTTCGGGTGGGAAAATATTCCTGGGATTTGTCTGAGGAAAAAAATCCCCCAAAAAAGGGGAGATCCTGGAGATGGGGTCTGTTCCTGCTGTTCCAGGGGGAAAATTGGGGAAATCCCTGGAATTCTGCATTTTCCAGCTGGGGGAGAGCTCTGAACTGGGAATGGATAAAGTGAAATTAAACTGAGAATCGATAAACTGGAAATCAATGAAATAGGAATCAATAAACTGGGAATCAATAAACTGGAATTCTGTGTAAAACCATGAATTTGTCTCTGGGAATCCTTGGGTTCAGAGCCCCGGTTCCGTTCCCATTCCCAGTTCCCCATTCCCAAATCCCAGTTTCCCAGTTCCCAAATCCCAATCCCCCATTCCCCCATTCTCCCATTTCCAATCCCCAGTTCCCAAATCCCAATTCCCGATTCCCCCTGTTCCCATTCCCAATTCCCCCAATCCCCGTTCCCCCATTCCCAGTTCCCATTCCTCAATTCCCAATCCCCAATTCCCAAATCCCCCGTTCCCCATTCCCAAATCCCAAATCCCCCATTCCCAAATCCCAATTCCCAAATCCTGATTC